TATCTAAATTAATAAAGTAATTCTATGGTCTCTCTCTTGGTCTCTGTCTTTGTCTCTGTCTCTGTTTCTCTCTCTCTGTCTCTCTCTGTCTCTCTGTCTCTCTGTCTCTCTGTCTCTCTCTCTCTCTCTCTCTCTCTCTCTCTCTCTCTCTCTCTCTCTCTCTCCGTATTTCTTTTTTCCTCTCCATCTCCCTCTCTCTGGTGGTGTCGGTAGTCCAGTGGCTACTGGGCCCGTATTCGTGAGATTGCAGATTCGAGGGTTCGAGTCTCAGCTCGATCCGACGTTGTATCCTTGGGAAATTCAATTTACGTGAATTTCCCATTTGGCTCGGTCCTTTCGAAGATGGATGTTAAACTCGGAAATGGCACGTAGCGTACTGATTTTAAAGTCCCGAATTTTTTCTTATAATAATATATGTATTTCTTTGGGTTTGAAACTCGTACATAGCGAAATTAGTTCATAATAGTTGAAGCAAAATGAAACATTCCGTGACCGTGGAGCGCGGAAGTCGCGTTCTTTGGCTTTTTGGAGACTTAAGGAGTTAAAAAGAAAATTTAGCTCCCATGCCTCTTTGAAAATGGTGGGCGTTTTACATAATTTACATGTAAACTTTGTACCGTGGTAACAAGCAAAAAAAGTTCAGGTAACTGGCTAGCATAATCACCGCAATGAACTGTTTTGTTTACATTCGCTTGGGGACAATGCCTCCGATCCACTGACCTAAAAAGATAGCTCCGATCACGTCTGTCACAATTCCAAAATCCTGACATGATTAATACAACTTTAATTGGTCTTAGCGAAGGTCGACAGAAAATCTGAGATCCTGGTTCATAAATGACCATGTTGTGTTGAAAGAGGACCTCAAACCCATATAATGATGATAATAATAATTAATAATAATAATAATAATAATAATAATAATAATAATAATAATAATAATAATAGTGACAGCAACAACAATAATAATGATAACACAATAATGATGATAATAATGATAATAATGACAATAATCGTAACAATAACAATAATAACAATAATAATGATAATAATTATATGATATCAATAACAGTAAATAGCATTAAAATATGTTTAATGCCTATTCCCGTTCAACCGCAAGCTCTATGCGCTCAACATTATATTCACTTAAATCCATATCGGACCTTAGGATGTGAGTACAGATAATTAGAAGCGTTACAAGAGAATGAAAATACACAGATAAAAAGGAGGATAGATAAGGATGATAGATGTTTGATAGGAAAGAGGGAGCAAAGGACATGAGAGCGCCCGCCAATCACCCACTACCACACCTTGTCGTACTTAAAGAGTGAAATAGTAACATTGACAAACCACGACAAAAGCCAGACGTATAATTATAATGCAGCAACAATCACAGAAACAGCAACTTGAAATAATTATAAATTACTTTTTGGACGTTATTTTACAGTTTTGAAAGGGGTGTCAAAACTATACAATGACCAACGACCCACGACCAACTTGGAACTTTCAAAATAGCCCATTGCGCTGTGTTCCAAAATGTACAAAGAAAAACAAAGGTCCCTAAACCAGGTGTAACGCGTTTTATAAAAACCCACTTCGGAGCAAACTATATTTGGTTAAAAAGTTTTTTGATTAAGCTATGGAATTAGCAGAGCCAACACTAATCCCTTCATTGCCAGGCCCAATATCACTTGGGCGCTTTGTTCGGATTGTGGTCTGGTAGTGAAAGGGTTAATACCAACGCAATAATTAGTTCCCAGCTGCTTGTTCAACAAAGTCACTCTTCGCTTGAAAGAAGACCAAGGCTTCTGCCCTTTCATGCCAATTCATGTTTGACCTTCTTGTTAAAGTCCATAGCATCTTACGAAACACCTCGCTATGTTTTGTCATGAGGCAAGACAACATTATGGAGGGTATTCAATGCTGGTTGTTGTTGTTGTTGTTGTTTTTCTCAACCTGCATTCAGAGATACTGAGAGCTGTCTGTACAATATGCGTCTTAATATGGCAGTGTAAACTGATCTGTTGTTGTTATGGTAAAACATAAGAAAATCAAACCAACAAACAGCAGAGGCAGCAGTAACAGTACTAGTTGGAGTAAGTGCAAAGAACTTGCTGTTGGGCGGGAATACGAGCTGTTTAAATGTTTATTTTTAAAAAATAAATTGAGTCAGGCGATATGGTTATCTTAAAGAAACCTAGATAGATAGATAGATAGATAGATAGATAGATAGATAGATAGATAGATAGATAGATAGATAGATAGATAGATAGATAGATAGATAGATAGATAGATAGATAGAAGTAAAGAGAGAAAGAGAGTGAGTGAAAAAGAGAAAGCGAGAGCCAGAGCAAAAGCGAGATGGAAAGAGAGAGAGAGAGAGAGAGAGAGAGAGAGAGAGAGAGAGAGAGAGAGAGAGAGAGAGACAGAGAGAGACAGAGAGAAACAGAGAGAGAGACAGAGAGAGACAGAGAGACACAGAGAGAGAGACAGAGAGTGAGAAAAGAGAGAGAGTGAGAAAAAGATAGACAGACAGACAGACAGACAGACAGACAGACAGACAGACAGACATACATACAGACATACAGAATGAGAGAGAGTAAAACAAGGAGAGAGAGAGAGAGAGAGAGAGAGAGAGAGAGAGAGAGAGAGACAGACAGACAGACAGACAGACAGACTGGCTGACAGACAGACAGACAGACAGACAGACAGACAGACAGACAGACAGACAGACAGACAGCATGTAGTTGGGTAAACCGTAACAATTGTGCTCATTCCAAGCACAGCGCCCATAAAACTTTGAAAAATATAGGTCTTTTTACATCCCCGTCGACATAATAGAGATCATATAGGAGGCAGACTTCAGATCCCGCCAGGGCCAACCTGGTCTGAGAGGAATGCAACATCCCAGCAGAAGGACCGAGATGCTTGATAAGCATGGAATCGAACTTGGGTCTCCTGCACGTAGCAGTGAAGCGCCTAACAGCTGCACCGCAGTCTCCAGTATAAAACACTGAATGGATGAAATGAACACCAAATATGGAGAAGTGTAACATACTTCATGTGTACTTAAGACTAGCTGACCATACAAGTGCCCCTTTTTCCTCTTGAGAGGTGTTATATGAACCACTATGCACGGAATAATAGATATCTAATTAATATGCTTGACACGTCTCTTGTCTACTAGCCACGGTGTTACTCCCGTAATTTTAAAGAAAATCAAAATTCATAGCACGAACCTTTCTTTTCTTACAGTTTAAAGCCTTCGTATTTTAAAGTTATAATTATTGTTCAATCGATAACTGGAAATTTGTTATCTACTTATCGCTTTTAAGGGGATATAAAAGGAGGCATCATTTGGGTTCTGTCATTTTGCATTCTTGAACTTCTTCGAAAGATTGGAAACCGGAATTTCAAAAAGGTATAAAGTTTTCTGAGAAGTATGTAAGTTAAACGACAAACAAACAAAAACAAACAAAGTGACAAAGAAATGTGTTTTTGTATAGGACTTACGGGTAAAAATTATTTTTAAGACAAAATTATTAAAGAAGAATGAGAGACTTAACATGACAGCGGATTCATGAAAGAATTTAAAAAAAAAGAATCTTCAAATAAACAAGACAAGTAATGCACCGATATTTCAGCTCATTCTGCTCTTTCATCATTTACTCAAACACCCTAAACTTAACAAGAAAAAGAAACTGCAGTCCAAACGTTTTCGTTTTCCAAGTAGTGCGTTGCAGTTCTTGCTATTGAAAAGAGACATCAGAACAGAGAGGGAAACCTAATATTCAATTTGATAATTCACGATGCTCTTGTCAAGATCTTGCCACTATGTCGGTGCTTTAGCTACAATCTATACTGCCCAGAAAGTTGAGATTTTTAAAGAATGTAATCAGGTCTGCTAGGATAATAGAATGTAAGGCGTACAGATCTTGCTGTTGAATATGCGCTATACAAATTAATGCTATCCATTTTCATACATGATCTTAATTTTCGTCTGAAATGTTGTTTCACGAGCTATTTCTCGAACTAGCCTTTGTTGTGATGGTCGTTGCATGGAAAATTCACCCGGCTTTCGCGTTTGCCACCTTGTCTTTTCACTTAGCCTTTTGGTAAAAATTCCTTCGTCCGGAATCGAATTTATTTGGGGACGATTTTTAGCATTCGCCAGGTTTATATTTACTTCACAAAACGCGTGATTTTCGCAGAGAACTGGTAGGCTATTGTGTATTCCCTGAGAGAAACCTGCTCTACTTCATAAAAGGGGGAAGGGCCAGGTCCTCTTCTCACGTCGTTTTGCCTTTAACGATCAAAGAGTAACACATGCGCATACGTATGATATCCGATTTTTTAAAATGTCGGTGGTACAGTGGAAATCACTAGGACCAACTCCTTTTCGGCTCTTTCTTTCTTTCTTTCTTTCTTTCTTTCCTTCTTTCTTTCTTTCTTTTTTTCTTCTTTCTTTCTTTTTAAAAATTTTTCTTTCTTTCTTTTCAAAATCTTAAATGGCTTTTGAATATTATGTTCTTTGGTCTTCTGTTAGAGGTGTTCTTCGGATTGTTACGAACCCGCCCCCTCCCCGCTCCGTTCTAATTTTGTCTCACGTCTGTCAGCTTCTTCAGCACAGGTTACATTTCTGTGACAAGCAGTTGTATTATCTTCCCTCTGTATGCAAGGACACAGTTGCCGTTTCGCGTATCAAAAAACGGGGGCTGGTAGACTACAAGTAAACAACTGTAACAACAAAGAAACGAAACAAAACAAAACAAAAATTAGATTTAGATTCTAGTCATAAGAGGCAAAACAGAACAAAAAAAATCATAAATGCTTAGTTATACGTCGTAGTAGTTCTAATACGATCCTTTCCAAAATCTTGAACAAATGATTTTAAATTTTAATCAGCCTTGCTAATGTTTTTAAGTGTCTCACGTCACATTGTTTACAAACAGGACGCCCAAGAACTGTTTTAACAAGACGCTGGAATATCAAACGCTGTCATCATGGCTGGACAGGTGCTACTATCAGTGGCGGACTACGTGGTCACTGTCATAATGCTTCTAGTACCTCTGGGAATCGGGGTTCTCTTCGCTTTCAAAGACGCTAAGAAAGCGACACGGGACGAGTACCTGTTGGGCGGTCGGCAGATGTCCATGTTACCTGTGACGCTGTCCTTGTTCGTCACCTTTCAGGTAAGTGTGTACATGGTGTATTTTTATTAGGTTTTGTTTTTCTCTTAAGCTGGTTGTTGACAAGCGTCTTCCGGGTTTTATGCCGATTCTTAGGCATTTGCAAAGCAATTATGGTAATGTAAATAGTCGTGTACTGCAGCGTAAAGATTTGTAGTCCACACGCATGCGCACGTACACATACTCTCTCTCTCTCTCTCTCCCTCACACACACACACACACACACATACACACACACACACACACACACACACACACAC